GTTATTGCTTTTTCCTCCCTTTTTTTTTTTTTTTTTTTTTTTGTAATTCCTGTATAATTTTCATAGCCTTTATTTATAGCATTTCACCATATTATAAGAAGGTGGCACAGCAGGTTTCTGTCTGATGTTTCTTGGCAGGTTTAGTTTGATGGAGTGGGTGGTTTGGCATTCTCTCTAAAGGATTCAGAGGTGTTTTCATTTAGAGTTTTTCGCCTATTTGCGCTGTTTGCTGTTTTATTGTTAACAATATAAGTTCTGCCACACACGTTTATAGAGAACCCCATTTATACAATATTAAACAACAGATTCATCCATGTTTAAAAAATGAAAGTATTTGGGCATGAAATTGAAAAGAAACAAAGGGTCTGTCTCAGAATTAACGGTTTCAGGATTTCCAAGGAAAATCTGGATGTAATAGGGGAAATACTGAATTCCAGACCTGGAAAGTCATGCAAAGTCTTAAAAAGTAACGGAAAAATTATAGAAATGTTTTTAGCAAAATCAAATTTGAATACAAAAATCTTATATTTAATTGTTTATACACACACACACACACACACACACATATATATATATATATATACAGTCATGGCCAAAAATATCGGCACCCTTGGTAAATATGTTCAAAGAAGGCTGTGAAAATTAATCTGCATTGTTAATCCTTTTGATCTTTTATTAAAAAAATTCACAAAAATCTAACCTTTTATTGGATAATAAGAATTTAAAATGGGGGGGAAATATCATCATGAAATAAATATTTTTCTCAAATACACGGACACAATTATTGGCACCCCTAGAAATTCTTATGAGTAAAATATCTCTGAAGTATATTCCCATTCATGGCCTATATTTCTGCTGGAGGTCCTGGACATCTTGTTTAGACACATGGCATTATGGATTCTATCAAATACCAACAGATAAAAAAATCTATATGTGACTGACTCTGTTAGAATTCTTATAATGGGCCATGTTTGGATCTTCCAACCGTACAATAATCCAAACACAAACCTCAAAAACAACACAAAAATGGGTCACTGAGCACAAAACCAAGCTTCTGCTATGGCCATTCCAGTTCCCTGACCTGAACCCTATAGAAAGTGAGTGGGGTGAACTGAAGAGAAGAGGCACCATCATGGAGCTGGGAATCTAAAGGGTCTGGAGTGATTCTGGATGAAGGAATGGTCTCTGATCTCTTGTCAGGTGTTCTCTAACCTCATCAGGCATTATAGGAGAACATTTAGAGCTGTTAAACTGGCAAATGGAGGTTTAAAAAAGTATTGAATAAAAGGGGGCCGTTAATTGTGGCCAATGTGTATTAGAGACAAAAATAAAAGATCAAAAGGATTAACAATGCAGATTAACAATTTCACAGCCTTCTTTGATCATATTTACCAAGGGTGCTGATATTTTTGGCCATGACTGTATGTATGTATATATATATATATATAGTGGGTATTTAAAAAAATCACTTTTTGTTGCTTTGCAGCCTGAAATGAAGACAGACACAGTTTTTGTTTTATTCAGCTGTATTTACTCAGTGCAGCTTATAACATCTAAGTGAAAGATATAACACCAACATGTTAGAAAAAAATAAAAAAACAGAATCACTGAGCTGGAAAAAGGAACACCCCCTTGTGTCAGTATTTTGTTGAACCACCTTTTGCTTTAATTACAGCCTTTAGTCTGTTGGGATTTGTCTCTACTAACTTTGCACATCTAGACTTTGTAATATTTGCCCACTCTTCTTTGCAGAACTGCTCAAGTTCAGTTCAATTTGATGGTGACTGTTTGTGGACTGCAGTCTTTAAGTCATTCCACAGATTTTCAATGGGGTTTAAGTCCGGCTCTGACTAGGCCATGCAAGGACATTCACCTTTTTCCTCCTTCAACCACTGTGTGCTCAGTTTTGCTGTGTGCTTTGGCTCATTGTCATGTTGGACGGAAAACCTTCTTCCCACTGACAACTTTCTGGCAGAGGGCAGCAGATTTTCCTCAAGAATTTGACGGTATTTTGCCCCATCCATTATTCCTTCTATTCTGACAATTGCTCCAGTCCCTGCTATTATTATTTCATATTTGTGATATTGTTGTCACATGCTCACAATGACCACTCTTTGTCATAAATTCCTGTAACTGCTTTAGAGTTGCTGTAGGCCTCTTGGTCGCCTCTCTGACCAGCTTCCTTCTGGCTCTTTTATCCAGTTTGGAGCAACGTCCTGATCCAGGGAGGGTCTGTGTAGTACCAAATACCTTTTTAATAATAGACTTCACTGTGCTTGTAGGCATCGATAAAGCCTTTGAAATGTTTTTGTATACATCTCCTGACTTGTGTGTCCACAACTTTATCCCGGAGATCTTCTGACAGTGGTTTGCTTCAGTTGCTCTACCAAGGACTGAAATGCTCCAGGAAAGCTCTTTTCATGCTGAGCCAATCAAAATGACCACAGCAGATCACAGTTGCATTAAGAGTCATTGCCCATTCCCAGTGACCGCACTACAGTGTTCTCGACCTCTACCTGTAAGCCTACTGTATTTTCCGGCGGGGTGATTATGTATGAGGTGCAGAGCAGATCTAAATCTCTTGGCTCATACAGCCCATTCTCCCGCTCACCCTTTGATGTACTGCTTTCATTGCATCTCTTTTGCCGGGGACAATGACAAGAAGCTTTCGCCACAATGGGCATAATGCACTTGTTGCTTTTGTTGGTTCTGTCTTTCTCCTCCACACCACATGGG